AAAAAGAAAAAAAAGAAAAAAAAAGCCATGTTAAATGAAAGAGGCCAGTCACATAAAGCCATATATAGCATAATTTCTTTTACATGAAATGTCCCAAATAGGCAAATCTATAGAGACAGATAACAACTTGTGGTTGATTAGGAGTGAGGAGGTTAGGGGAATGGGAGAGCAAACACTAATGGGTACAGGATTTCTTTCTGGCATGATAAAAAATATTCTAAAATGTGAAGATAGTTGCACAACTCTGTACTGAACTGTATATTTCAAATGGGTAAGATTGTATGGCACATAATTGAAATGAAGTTGTTAGATACAGAAAAGAGTCCCTACTTTCAATATAGTAGGGCTCTAATATTCTCCAAGATCCTTATTTGATACATGGTTAAACATCCATCTAAATTATTCTAATATGCTGAAAATACCATATTTTTCTTAAACTTTAAAAATAATGTAAAGGGGCTAGAGAGATGGCTTAAGTGGCTAAGAGTACTGACTACTCTTCCAGAGGACCCGGGTTCAAATCCCAGCACTCACATGGCTGGTGACAACTGTCCGTAACTCCAGTTCCAGGGGCTCCAATGACCTCTTCTGACCTCTGTAGGCATCGCACAGCATGGGGGTACTTACATACAAGCAGGCGATACACTCATATGCATAAAATAATAAATAAAATATTAAAAAATAATTCAACAGCACACAATTTTAATTCCAGTACTCGGGAGGCAGAGGCAGGCAGATCTCTGTGAGTCCAAGGCCAACCTGATCTACATAGTGAATTCCAGGCCAGTTGGGGCCACAGGGAGACCTTGTCTCAAAAAGACCAAAAATAAATAAATAAATAAATAATAAAATCCACATATCTGGGCACCCTTCAAGGATTCTGGGTGTGGTGACCCACACATTTAATCCCAGCACATAGGAGGCAGAGGCAGGCAAGTCTCTGTGAGATCAAGGCTAGCCTGGTCTACACAGTGAGTTCCAAGCCAGCTGTTGGCTACAAAGAGACCTGATCTCCAAAAAACTATCAGTCAGTCAGTCAGTCAGTCAGTCAGTCAGTCAGTCAGTCAGTCAATAGCCAGCAAGATAGTACAATGGATAAAGGTGCTTGCCTCCAAGCCTGATAACCTGAGTTTGATCCTTGGGATCTACATTGTGGAAGGCAAGAACTAACTTCCACAAGTTGTCTTCTATCTTTACTTGAGTCAAAAAGAGGCCAGTTTGGGTAATACAGAGTCTTATCTCAAAAAAAATTTGGTTTTCAATTTTAGATTTCTGGAAAGGATAATATACCAATTTTCTGGTGTTTTTTAATAAATGTATTTAAGTTCTTTATTTAACAGAAAGATGAGTGCTAAGACTTGTAGGACAAAGAGCAGAGGTAGAAAGTTAATACAGAATTATGGATATAAATGTCTCCATTTTTTTTTCTTTCCTTTTTTGGAAGTTGGGAAGGAACAAAGCAGGTTCTCACTATGTAGACCAGTATGGCCTCCAGTTTACAAGATTCCTGCCTCAGCCTCCCAAGTGCTGGGATTACGGGCACTACTATACCCAGTAATTCCATACAAAGATTATTATACCCAGATAAATCTATGTTTCTAAAGTTATGTAGATACCTCCATTAATGAACAGTTAATTTTGATATCTACCAGGTATATCATTTGGATTAATAACAACAATTCATAAGAGAAATACTTGCCCTAGATCTGTAAGTGGAGGTTTATCTCTTCCTCTTCTATAGCAAAGGTAAATCTGCGGCCCCACAAGACTTCCATTATTGAGATCTGCTGACAATCCAGTTGGGGTTACATCGATACACATATAATCCCGTGGTACTTCCTCTCCAAGGGACTTGATGATAACTGAAACATCTGTGATGGGTTCTTTTGGTTTAGCTACTTTATGACAAGCATCATTGAAGTGAATTTCTTCTTCAAGAGGCTTTGAAATGTCAGTTAATCCTGCTACAACAAAGTAGTCAGCAACACGAGGCCCCTTGTCTTCAATCATCTTCCATTACAAAGGTTACATCTAAATGGAAAATAAAAGACATTATTCCATAATTAGCCAAGTAAAAGTAAAAATCTATAGCGTGCTACCTCTGCTTCACACTAGTATTATATATTGTACCTGTGTAAATGAAAAGCATGCCTTTTAAAAAAAGACTGAGACTATCTTCAACATTTTTATTATAGAATTAATGCATGAATTTCCAATTTTGGCAACATGAAACCTAGATCACTGAGGTAGACAACAATAACAACAAAAATAGCCTTTTAAATGTATAGATGAACTTTAAAAATATAATGTAAAGTCCAAGAGCATCAAAATATTAAAGTCAGAATATAATCTGTAAGCTAATATTGAGTTGGAAAATTGCTGATCTCTTCAATAATCAAGGCATTACAGGGATAAGAACAAGGCCTCAGAATCATATCAGAAAAGGAACTGTAACTGAGACATCTACATAAAGCCAAAAGCTCCAATTGACTAGACTCTTAGTTAAAAAATGGATTTAAGAACTCATTCACTGGTCTTAGGAGTAGCTCTGTGGGAGAACACCTTGTATGAGGTCATAGGTCCAACCCCTCACACTGCAAAAAAAAAAAAAAAAAAAAAAAAAAAAAAAAAAAAAAAAAAAGAACTCCTTCTAGGCAAAGAAAAAGAAAAAACAAACACACCCATTCATCCATTCATTGGCAAAGAAAAATAATAAAGTCTGGTTCAATATGATCTGGCCTTGTACTTAGAATCTGGAGCATGAACTGAAGCCATTTTCATGATTTCAGGAAGCTCCAGCTGAGAAATTTATAATAAAAGTATTCTCAGGCTAGTGGTGTTCCTGGGGAAGCAAATGCAAAATAGCTCTTAAGGTTACACTCTCAATCTGGGTTTCCACAGACAAAGCCCAGCTGAAAATAAGCCCCTATTCTAAACCACAGAAACACACAAGGAAAAATTCATCATGAATGAGTCTCAGCTGACACAACAAACAAGAATTCAAATAAATAAGAGAGTACAAATTCAAAGAAAAATGTATGGGTGTATCTTCTAAATCTTTAAGAGTATAATCTACTTCATTTGTCTACTGCCACTTAACTCTTATTTTCTCCTGTAAGTGGGTGAATAGACGTCTAGTATTATCATCACTCACAACCACTGTTACAGGGAAAAGTTCAGTCTGAAACAATATCTGAGAATGTTGCTTCACATTAGACTTGGTTATAATAAATACAAACAAAAAAGGACTCCAAGGAAAAATAAACTAGATATATGTCTGCTATAAACCTCTTATCATATATATGTCATATGGGGTACACAGATGGTTATATCATTGATTTTATATGTATGGGGAGATAAGCATATAAAGTTCAGCAGTTGTTTGCTTAACCACAGTATTTCTCAAGTGCATCTGAGCAATGAACCCTGTTTTACTAATCAACAACTAGAAAGCCTCTACAATATGCTTTAGAAAATGCTGGTTCAAAGTAAATAACCTTTCCTTACAGAGTACCAGAGGGATTCTGTGTCATGCAGCAGAGTAAAAACTTCTACACTGGCCAAGGAGATGGCTCTGTCAGTAAAATGTCTGCCATGTAAGTATAAGGACCTAAGTGTGGATCCCAGAAACACATGTAAAAGCTTTGGAAAGGTGATGAAGACAGGGAATTCCAGTGAATCCCCTAAGCTTACTGGCCAGCCAGTCTAATCAGTGAGTTTCAAGTACAGTGAGAGATCCTATCAAAAAATAAGTTAGAGAGCAATGGAGGAAGACACCAGATATTGACCACTAGCCTCCACAAGCACATGCGTGCCCCCCCAACAGAGGCATGAACTCATATATATATCTGTATATGTATATATATATTACATATATTAGAAAAAAACAAAAAAACAAAGGAAAAAATGAAAAGAAATTAAAACAAAACAAAACAAAAACCAAAAAAGCATATACATATAATACCTCTTTTTTTTAATTGCTTTTTTAAAATGGTTGATAGGGACTGAACTTAGGGACTTTTACAAGCCAGGCAAGTGATCTACCATGAGCCTTTAACCTCAGAAAGTAAATTTCTTTACATTAATTTTTAGAAACTGGGGATCACAAAAACATGCATTTACAGAAGTAAAATGTACAGAGATTCTGTAAATAATCACAATAATATAAAGCTCTGAATCAACATTATTAAGTTGAAGTGACAATACTACATTATTAACCAATGATTATTTTATAATTCTTCTTTGTTCAAAATGCTGTAGACAACTTAAGGAATTTATTCAAAAGATAAAATGTTTAAGGGCTGTCAGGATGGCTCAGAAAGTAAAGGCACCTGCTGCCAAGCCTGATGACCTGAGTTCAACTCCTGGGATCCACACAGTGGAAGGAGAAAACTGACTCCCGCAAGCTGTCTTCTGATCGCCACATGCATGCCATGGTACGTATGTGCCCAGAAAAATACACACACACACACACACACAAATTTTTTAATAAAAAAATATAAAATGTTTATAGGAAACTTAAAATTTTACATTACCTGGGAGAGGAGTGGAGGCTGAATATGATCAAAATACATATATGAAATTCTCAAAGAATTAGTAAATTATGTTACAAATTCTTATATACCTGCTTGGCTAGTATTCCTCTTCACTTATTTAAAAATGATTTATAGCATCAGAGAATACTTTCAGAAGATATATCTGCACCTTAGTAAAACTGAGGAGCCTACTATTTGCTATCACACTTTTATCCCATAGTGCTGGGGGTAGAAACCAGCACCTTGCATATAACAAGGCAAGTACTCTACCACTAAGCTACACCCTTAGCCCTAATATTTTACTTAAAAGTGACTGAATTTCTTTGAAACTAGAAAAAAGGATGTGCTCTCTATTCATAAACAGTACAAGAGAACTAAAATGGAAAGATATTAAAGTAGGATCTTACCCATTCAATAACTAACAGAGACTGGTTTGTTTTCTGCTTTTCAATCTCTGGCAAATCCAGATGGTTATTTCTTACTTCACTCCATTGGGTCCAAGTAGTTACACATTTGCTACCCAGACTACCGCTAAAGACAACAAAAAGCCAGTGAAGAGTGAAAATCAGAGTAAACATTTAAAAAATATTAAAAAACACACAAAAAATATTCTGAACATTAGGGGCTGGAGAGATGGCTCAGCGGCTAAGAGCATCAGCTGTTCTTGCAGAGGACCTAGCACCCACATGGTGGCTAACAACTGTCTGTAACTCCAGTTCCAGGGGATCAGAAGCCCTCTTCTGACCTCCATGGGCCTTGCATGACACGAGTGCACTTACATATGTGCAGGCAATACACTCATACATATAAAATTAAAAAAAATTCTGAACATTAAACTTTTTCTCCTTTTTTTGTCTTTTTGAGACAGGGTCTCCCTGTAGCCCCAGAAGTCCTGGAACTCTACGTAGACCAGACTGGCTTCGAACTCACAGAGATTCGCCTGCCTCTGCCTCCCAAGTTCTGGGATTAAAGGTGTGCACCACCACACCCTGCCTGAACATTAAACTTTTTATTTTATTTTCTAAATATTTTATCTATTATTTTTATTTTATGTGTATGCATGTATTGCCTGCATATAGGTAAGTGCACCTATGCTGTGCAATGCTCGTGGAGGACAAAAGAGGCTGTCGGATCCCCTGGAACTGGAGTTATGGACAGTTGTTAGCTGCCATGTGGGTACTGGGATTCAAACCCGGGTCTTCTGCAAGAACAGCCAGTGTTCTTAACTGCTGAGCCATCTCTCCAGTCCCCACATTAAATTTTTTATAAAATGAACAGCTACTAGGACCAGTTACAGTGATACACACTTATGATCCCAACATAAGGGAGGATGAAGTTTGAGATCAGCCTGGGCTATAAAGTGAGAGCTTATCTTAAAAAGAAGTATCACCCGGTGTGGTGGCATATGCCTTTAACCCCAGCACTTGGGAGGCAGAGGTAGGGGGATCTCTGTGAGTTTGAGGCCAGCCTGGTCTACATAGTGAATTAGCTGGAGCTATAGGGAGACCTTGTCTCAAAAAAAGAAAAAATAAAAGGAAGTATCAACTACTATTGAAATTTCCAGAGTGAATCAGATCAATAATCACACACTCAGACTTACATATGAAAATAGTATTACAATGGACCAGTTCAACACTGTCTTCTGGTTGACTCAAACTATAAGAAAGTTCAAGTTCTGCTGGACTTGAACTCACAGTCCTCTTGCTTCATCTTTCTGAGTGCTGGGATTTCAGGCTATGCCACTATGCCCCCTTCCAAGGGACATTTTAAAACATCTTCCAATAATCTATTTTGTGTCACTTGTTACTTATAGCTATTAGATGGCAAATACATTCCAAATTCTTAAGAGTTCTGAAATATTAAAGTTTCACTGTTTTAACACAGAAAAAAAACCTAACTGAAACAAAGCACAATGAAAAATAAAACTACTTACACATTACTGAAGGTTTCTGTCTGAAAATACCAGCTTTTGACATGTAAATTCTTCAGGCCTCAGGTTTTGAGAAATGCTATATTGAAAAGTATTAAGAATTGAGCTTAAATGAATAATAAATATTTTTTCCTAACAGATCTATAAATACTTAAAAGTTCTATTAATACTTTAAAACGAATACCAGCTCTTCCAAAAACATTTCAATCAAATATGTGTGTGTGTATTTGAAAAAAAAAAAACAGATCTGGGAGAGTAAGAAAGAAAGTAAGAAACAAATGGCGCAAAGCGGACGTACACAAAAGCAAGGAGTGGAGGACAATTCATAAGTGCCGAGTCCTAGGGCAGTTATGTATAATATCTCACTCAGAAGGAAAAAATAGGTATTTAAGGCAATTCAAAAGTGGATTCAGCTGGGCTTGGTGGTGCATGCCTTTAATTCCAGCACTCCAGAGGCAGGTGGATCTCTGTGAGATCAAGGCCAGCCTGGTCTCCATAGCAAGCTCTAAGCCAGTTGGGGCTATAAGGAAACCCTGTCTCAAAAAAAAAAAAAAAAAAAGACCCCAAAAATTCCATACACAGTATTTCAAATTAGTTCAATGCCCAAAATACTTTCCCTTATTATACATTTTTAAAACTATTTAAATAGAATCAGCACATCAATCCTTAACAACAGATACAGTAGAGTAGGGATCTCATAAAAGAACCAAAGTTGGGCTAGGGGTGCTACTCAATGGTAGAGCATTTACCTAGCTTATGTAAAACCCTGGGTTCAATTCCCAGCCCTGAAGAAAAACAAAGAAAAAACCCAAAGCCTTGTGGACAAGGTAATGAGCCATGTTGTATTTTGAGATTCAATATGTCGCTATATTTTATTTAAATTGAATGGTTAGTAAGTTGTAGTTATGAGTAATGAAAAGCTGGTGTCAATGATGGAAATCTTGGAGTATAGTTACACTGATTATTGTGCCAGTGGACTGTCATTTTATAATACTGCAAACCACACATAAAAGGAGTTTTGAACTAGCTAGGGAGTCTAGGACACCCCACACTGACCTTAGTATCATGTGACAGTCTCTCTGCACACATCCTCTTGAGTCCTCTTGGATTAAGAAAGACTGAAGACCTACAACCTTTTTAGAAGGTACGACTTCCCTCCTTCCTTGTACTGGACCAGACAGTGTGATTTCCTACACTGTTAGTCCCTTCCTTAAGGTTAGAGGACATAACTACCATCCCAGGGATTTTCAATTTTTTATTTCAAATTACAAATTCTTATTACTTAACCTGAAAAGAATAAGAAAAAAAGGGGTTTCACTAGGCCAAAGATTTTGCAGGAAAACAAGTTAAGGTGCAAAATCACATGCCCATCAAAAGGAAGAAACCGCAGCTTTAGCCAGTCTGGAACATCTAATGACAGATAAATAGTAGCAGGAACAGATAGGAACTGGATTTCCATGACTTGGTCCCGATTTTAGTGTCTGTGGCAAGTAGGAGAGAATGGGATAAAGGACTTATATAATGTCTCAGTCAAAATTTTGATATTATGTCTAAAAAGGGAGGGTGAAAAGAATAAGAGGAACCAAGGATGATGTTACCATTGGGTTTTTCTTGTTTTTTTAAATATATTTTAAAAGATTTTTATTTATTTTAATTTTATATGTATAAGTGTTTTGCCTGTATGTATGGTGTTCATACAGTCCAGAAGAGGGCAACTGATTCTCTGGAACTGGAGTTATAGACAGTTGTGAGCTGTCAGTGGGTTCTGGGAACTGAACCCTGGTCCTTTGCAAGATCAGCAAGTGCTCTTAACCACTTAGCCATTTCTCCAGCCTCTTATTTTTTTAAAGACGAATTTCTGCTACATATACTATATTTAAGACTACTTCTGCTATATATACTATATTTAAGACTATTTCTGCTATTTATAATTGGCCTCAAATTTGCAATCCCTCTACCTCTGCCTCCCAAGAGCTGGCATTACAGGTTTGTGCTACCATGCCTGACATTTTTGTTACTTTTTGGGCTGGTAAAAGTAGTCAAGACAAAGATACATGTTTTTAAAACTAGGGCATCACTCCACTTCAGGCTGACAGAATAATTTCAGGCAGCAAATATGGAATGGTATATGTATTGTTCAAATATTTCCAAATTTTATTGCTGATAGGTACTAAAAAGAACAGAATTACTCACCTCATGAAACATTTTTTAATTCAACATTAGATTATCATAATTTCTCGTTAAAGTACTATACATATATGGAAATACTTGTAAATTCAGAAAAATACCTGGAATAGCCTTGACAGGATATTACACTTGATTATATTGCATTATGAATGATGAATGAGCTAAAACCAATATCAAATACAAAAAAAATTTCATTTTTTCCTAATTTATGTATATGCATGTATTGCCTGTATGTAGGTTAAGTGCACCCGTGTCATGCAATGCCCACAGAGGACAGAAGAGGCTGTTGGATCCCCTGGAACTGGAGTTATGGACAGCAATTAGCTGCCATGTGGGTGCTGGGATTCAAACCTGGGTCTTCTGCAAGAACAGTCAGTGCACTTAACTGCTGAGCCATCTTCCTAGCCTCTCAAATACATTTTCTTTAGAAAATTTTTGATGCTTAGTTTTGTGTTTGTGTGTGTATGGGCATGCACATGCCATGGCACATGTGTGGAGGCTAGAGGGCAAATTGTAGGAGTCAGTTCTCTCCACCATAGATCCAAAGATCAAATACAGGTTGTGAGTTTTGGCAACAAGGTCTGTTACTTGCTGAGAAAATCTCACCAGCTTCCCAAATATATTTTCTGCCACTACAAATTCCTCAATATAGTAGGAACATTGATTCAACCTTGACTTTGTGTTTCACTAAATATTTGCATTATTATTTATTCAACCAATACCATTTTCTTCAATGTTGAATTTTTAAAATTAATCTAGAATCACATTCACAACATCAAATATTTCCACTGTCAGAATGGACTTTCCAAAACTTTATTTTGACTCCATAAATTGCATGAAAAAAATTGGGCCATTATTAGAATGAAGTGTTTTTCTGTTTAACACAGAAGTGTTTGCAAAGGCATTCTGCTAATGGGGACAACATGTCACAGTCACTGCTTTACTTTCCACACATGCACAAGAAAAAGACAAATAGGCAACTAGTTCAACTGATTTACTAGCACGTCGATGACTGTAAATGGACAGTCATGCTCTACAGTGTAATACATGAATGTGCTTCTGGCAGTCACATGTGTTAAGTCATTATCTTTCACCACAGACTTGAAATTTTTACTTGTGAGATAACTGCAGAGGCACATTCAGTTGAAAAGGGAGAGACCTAGAATTCCTTTACTGAGTGCCTCCTACTGGCACTTCTCACACAACCATAATACAATGTCACAAATGGGACACACATTGGTAGCAACTTGTCTTATTACCTCTGTTTTACTTGTACTCAGTTGTGTATGTGTACTGAGTTCTATGCAGATTTAATATACCTGTGTCATGTAATATTACTACAGTCTAGGCACAATGTACTTTCCACATAAGGAGCGTGTGCTGCCCTGTCATTAGTACACATTTCCCTCCAGATTCCCCACCCATTAGTTCCTACTTTCTACAGAATGGTATTCTTTTTACCAGAAACTACACACAGCCCATGAAAGGAACAGATGTTTCCTAAAGCAACACTTCCTTATGAAAAGGATGTAGAAACAAACCAAAGCACAAAGGATATACATGACATGGAAAGTATTGCCAGCCACAGCTACTCATAGACCATTACTCTTGAACATGATTCTATATACATAAATACACAGGCATGTATGTGCATGTACTCCTAGATGAGTGAGAACCTAAGAAGTCACATTTTATTCAAGAGCAATTCTGTCCCACATCTTGAAATTAGGTTAGAGCTGACATAGCTAGCACTGTCTTGGGAATATGGATATATTCACCACAGAACAGGATTGGACTGGAACTAATTGAGTGTTAGTATACAGATAGCGGTCTCCATATAGACTACAGACAAGTCAAAGGCTTCTATGGCTTCCGTGTTCTCCATTCTCTCACATGCATAGCAGTTACCAACACATGGCAGGTGTGTAAACATTTATTAAATGGGTGAGGCCAACACAACAGGAAAGGAAGCAATGTGAAGACATCACTGAACTGCCAGATTTTTGGGTGAGGAGGGTCTGTGGAAATTTTGTTTCAATTATTCTTTTTATATTAAAATTTTTTATAATTACAGTATAACAGCTTGCCTATGACCAAATAAGTCAATTTATGATTTTCATAGCTTTTAATTTGGGGTTATACTGTATCATATTTCATATTCAAGAATGAGAGAAAATAAAATCCTTGAGGAGACTAGTGTGTTCATTAGTGAACCTGGGCTTTGAGGGGCAAAATACAGGATGTAATATATAAAAGTGGGATAAATGAAACTGGTTGAAAGAGAAGAAAAAGAATAAACAACAAAACAAGACCAAAGAATAAATTGAAAAATAAAGAATCTGAATAAAAAGATACGACAAGAAAAAGAATTCTAAAAGATGAGGGCCAGTGAGATGGCTCAGCAAGTAAATGCATCTGCTGCTAAGCCTGACAATTTGAGTTCCATTCCCAGGACCCACACAATGGAAGCAGAGTACTGACTCCCACAAGTTGTCCTCTGACCTCCACTGAGTGCCATGGCACATGTATGATTATACATACATACACACACAATTTTTTAAATGTAGTAATTTTTTAAAAGAATTAAAAAGATTAGGAGGGAAGTGGTATAAAAGAGTAAAAGTAAAGAGCTTGAAATGTAGCTCAGTAGTAAGCACTTACCAAACATGGACAAGACCCTGAGTTAGATATACAACACCACCCAAAAACTTAAACTGTAAATAAGAGAACAAAAACTGAAAGTAGAGAGGTGAGAAATGTCTCTAGTGGGATGAGGAAAAGAAATTTAGGGAATTTTTAATGCTACACATAGTCTTTTAAGATAACCACGGTCAGCTATGAATTTGCACTGAAAGTGTCTTCCTATCCAGCATTGTATGTGAAATGGAAACA